CTTTTTACCTAGGAACATTTATATGAATTAAGTTATGTTTTCCTTTTTCTGTAAACGTAATTAAGAATAATAGTGTATTCCAGGATTGTTTGAAGTGTATGTTGAGAGCAAGAAGCAAATAGGCTTCTGTCATAATGAATTCACTAAGCATATGTTGAGTGATAACAGGGGCATACAATCATAGGGGAAGAACTCAAGGAGAAAAGTGGGCCAATTATGGTAATGAACAGGTAGTCAAATGAAAAGGATGGGAAAGAGCACAGGGTAACAATGTGAAATTATGATTAGCACAGTAAGCAGCTGGCACTGCCTAGCTATTGTTGTCACATGTCTGGAACATCGCAGTGGAATGCAGTTTAAGGACAGTCAGAAAGGACAAACGGCTCAGCCTGTGCACTTCTACAGGGAATGTTTGAAAAATATAAAGATTGCACAGGGACATCAACAACTCTTGGAAAGTTGAATTTTGACAGTTTATGATATTATGGATTTGTATTGTAGGCTACACCTCAACTATAAGATTCATCTTACTTGGTATTCTCTGTTCATGTATTCAGATGTTCTTTTTGTCTCTTGAAGTTTGTAACTGGATTTGCTGTCAAAGTGGGGTTGATAGAGCTGGGTGAGTTACAAAGCTGTAGAAAACAAGAATTCCAGTAATTTTTTTCTTATTTGTTAGGACTGGATCCTCTTTCTGGTTATGTAATAAAGAAAGCCATTGGGTGTACTCTGGTTTTAAAACAGATTGTCAGTAAACATAATATTTTTGAACTTGCTTATTTGCAGAGCAGTCCTAGCCATCTCAAGCACCCTTGGTGGGGAGGGGATTATGGCGAAATATTTCTGCACCAGTGGAGTAGAGTTCTGCCAATGTGGTGGGAGTCACATTTGCCTTGAAGGTCTGATTGCATGGTCTTGCAGCTGGCCATAGTCCTGAATATGGTAAATTGTGGGGGACAAAGCAGAAGCTTTGGATCCCTTGAGATGAACTAGTGTAACTAATTCCACCTGTTGGTTTCAAAGAGTATGAGAAGAGATCCTCACCTATGCTCCTACCCGAGTCTACCATAATAAAAAGCCTGGTAAATCTGTCTTCCCCATTTTTTTACCTTGACAAATGTGAATGAGCTGCATGTTGTAAATGACCGGTTATCTGCTACTTTGCTTGCTATCCCAAGAGCTGTTCGGATTGCTATCTTGTTATATCATATACTTGTTAGATTTATATCCCACTTCCTTTCAATATGCTCAAGGTTTTGAAACAAAATAAAACATTGTCCAAACTGGATGAAATTTTGTACAAAATCAAATCAAGCATAGGCCAAAATCCAGCTGGTAGTAACTAATAATTGGCTTAGGCTCTGGGAAATGTCATAAAGAAGGCAAAAAACAAATAAACAATAAAAATTTAAAAAGTTTCATCTTGAAAACTGTTATATTTAGTGTGAGCCATTGTGGATAAAATCCTCTTCCTTAGACTATTACCGACATAAATTTAATCAACAACCTAAAGCAACCAAAGGGATATATCTTTATTTAGAACAAAATATGAACAGTTTTCTAGCTGTGAGAAAGTGTATGGTAAGGCAGAAAAGCATGGAGTGTGCTGTGGTCTTTTTCTTGGTCTCTATGATTAATACTAATGGATTGTTCTGCTCCTGTGCAGATGTCCTTGAAATCTTCCAGAGCTCAGAACAAATTATTCGCCCCACCCTAACACTTAGTGCATGCTCCTCCACCCAACGATAACTCTCAGTTCCATTTAGACCACCTCTGAACCAGTGCCCCAATGATCATCTGGAGCCAGATTTCACTCAAACACTACTGTAAATAGTTTCTGTTCAACTTTACCCTTCCTCTGTTAGTCCTTTTCTAATCTAATTTTAAAAAAGGAAAGAAAAGAAAAAAGTTGTTTTTCATCTTCTAAAAAATTCATACATTCAGCAGCATCAGAGACAACAACCAAAAGAAGATACAAGTAACTCCAGAGTTATCAGAACAGTTTCTCTGATGGTCAGACATTTAAAGCCTGTCAGTAGGATGACCATTCAAATGTATGCAGCCCTCAGTTCTAGTAACAATAGGTGCAAGCTTGTTGGGATAGGGAGCACACTGCAAAGACAGACTGATCTATGCCTTATGGTCCCATGGAGAGAAGCATTTGCACATAAAAATGCTAGACATGTTGACAGGCATAAAAGCCTTCAGTGCTTTTGAATCCTTTATCTGGCACAGGTAGCCATGGACAATTCTACAATAGTAAACAAGCAAGGAGGCACACATATGTTGGTTCCCCTGTGTGCTAGTGTGGGTATTGTGCATTCAAAGGCACATCTACCCAATATTGGTCCATGTTACCAGAGAAGACAACCACATAGTGGACTCACTGAGGTGATGCATGAATGAGAACTATTCCTTTGCATATTCTGAAGCATATGTGGTCACTGGCCATATGACTGGCCATAAATAGACCTGTTTGCAACAGAGAACAGCACACAACGTCACAAAATTTGTTCCTGGGCATGTTGCAGAACAAAATCTGTAGGAAATTCTTTCACAGTCCAACGGACCAAAACTCTAATTTGTCCCTCCCTTTCTGATGCCTCACAGAATGATTGTGAAGCTACATCAGGGAAGTGAATGTGATAGTCAACATTTTGATGGCCTCATCAAGCATGGTTCACAGCTTTCCTCAAAATGGTGAATGATGTCTATCACCTGCTCATGAATGTAATATCTCAGCACAATGGAACAATTCACCACCTAGACTGCAAAAAAATTAAAGCTCACGACATGGAGGATTCACCAACAATCCTGAGAATCCTGACTGAGGCCAGGAAGCCTTCTGCAAGGACAGCCTACAAATATAAATGGGACACGTTTACCACATTTTCTAAGTTGCTGGGAGAAGATTATCATTCCTCCATTACTACACATGGTCCCACATGTCCTCTTACACATGAAAGAAAAGAGACTGTCACACTGGTCACTCCACAATCTGATGTTCTGGCAAGCAAAAAAAGAGTTTCACCAGCATCACAATTTTTCGAAAATGAAACCCTAAAGAGATTCCTGAGAGGCTTATGAAAGCTGCACCTGTTTATTAAAGCACTCTTACCTCAGTGGTTCTTTCTTTTGGTTCTTTATCAGGTGACAAAATCTCTGTTTGAACCAATGGCTACTTTTGACCTACAAGTGTAAACATACATAACAGTATTCCTGGTCCCTTTCACATTGGCCAGATGGGCAAGTAAGCTGGAGGCATTGCACTGTGATCCACTCTTTTTATAAATCTTTGGAGATAAGGTGATCCTTACATGAATGTATCTGTTCTGCCTAAAGGTTTAACAGATTTCCACATCAGCCAACCTCTGGTGTTGCTGACCTTCTTCTCAGCCCCAACTATGGATTTAGATAAATAATTATATACTCTAGATATCTGTAGAGTTCTGACTTTCTATGTCTTGAGGACAAAAGCTTCTGGAAAAACTAATAGGTTATGCCTTTGCTACCAAGGAAATCAGAAGGATAATCACTTTTCCTCCCAGTGGATATCCAAGTGGCTTGTAAATGCCATTACCTTATCATACCAGTTGACAAGGAGACCAGCTCCAAGCTCTCTAATAGAACATTCTGTCAGGGCGATTTCTGCCTCTATGGCCTTCTTAAAAGGCATTTAGATGAAGGACATCTGCAAGGCAGCCACATGGTCTTAGCCTGTATCATTCATCAAGCATTGTAGACTGGACGTCAGAGCAAAGTTTGATGCTGCATTTGGTTGAGCAGTGATCTTATCAGTATTGGTGTGATATCCCACCAGCTCGTAAGTGAGCTTGTTAATCAATGGTGTGAACCATAGAGAGCATGAACAAAGAAGACAGGTTACATACCTGTTAATGTAGTTCTTCAAGTGGTCATATGTGAATTCACACAATCAATCCAACCTTCCCTCTGTCTGTCATGCATTGCATTTCCTTGAGTGGTGGACATGCGAACTGAGAGTTACTGTTTGCCAGAGGAGTATGCACTAAGTGCTACAGTAGGGCTAACAACTTTCCTAGGCTTAGGAAGATTCTAAGGATGTTTGTGTAGGTGCAGAACAACCCCTTAATGTGAATTCACAGATGACCACTCAAAGAACTACAGTTACAGGTAAGTAACCTGTCCATATTATGTCTTGTTAAATATGCAAGAGAACTGAGAGACTGTACAGTAAGAGTAATATACATCTTATCTCAGAAGACATTGAAAAATTTATTGGGATTCAAATGCAGGCTTGTTTTACACTGAGCCCAGTCATTGGTTCAGCTAGCTTAACATTATAGTTGCCAACTCTGCATTTTATTATTGCTATATTATAGTGTGAATTTTTCATATAGGATATAAATATTTATAACAAAATTAATGGTTGATAATAAGACCAATAGTGTATCCAAGGTATAGAGTAGAGTGCTTTTTTCTAAATTGCTTTAAATTGGAGATGCCGTGGAGTTTAATTGCCATACTCTACATGGCAAACATTAAACAAGCCTTCCAGATTATAAGATTCCTACAGCTCAGAGGTACCTACCTCTGAATACACTTGGTGAAATTATCATAAAACTTTTGCCATAACATTTGTATGACAATTTAAAATTTCTGATTCTTTACCTAAACACTACATTCCTGAATATTCATACTTCAAAAATTTGTCAGTAAACTTTTACTTGATCCCAAACTACCATGCTTAGTAGCTCAGTGCAGACACCTGCCTGTCTCACGAGCATTTTGTATGATAGGATTTTCATTATTTGAATTCGTGATTTGATACAGTCGAGAATGGTGTGGGGCAGGGAAAGAGGTTAAAAAACCCCCAAAAGAACCCTGCTATCTGATGTTATTAGTATATATTTCAAGTCACAGTTAATTAAAAAAAGGATCCTATTATGAAACATAATAGTGTGTGATAAAACATAGTATGAATTTTTTCCTTATCCTGTTGTTACTTTCTATTGATCTAGAGTTTCTGTGGCTCAGCCTGATGCAAGTAAGTGGGAACTATCAGTCCAGCTGGGAGATTCAACTCACTCTGTCATAGCTCAACGTCAAGGATCAACTTTCTTGGTAAGCCTTCACTCATGAAAAACCGGCAAAGGCTAAAATCCTGTACCATAAGTGATTCCGTGTAAGGCTTATGATCTCAGCAGCAGCAGCAATTTTTCAGGAAAAAATATATATGTGTATATATATATTTGCCCACCCTGAAAGTTCTGAAGCTCCCATGGAGTTCCCTTTGTTGTAGGGAAGCTGTTTGAAGTGAATCTATAATTTCTAAGTCATCTCGGTGGTGACAATTTCAGGAAATAAAAGATTTTCTCTCCATTCCACGGAACCGAACATCTACCCCGAGATGAAGGGGATTCCATGACACCCTGCGAACTTTCATGGAGAGAACTGGAAAATGTTTATTTCCAGAAAATTGCCCATGGCTGTTGACATCAGCAACTTTACACGGCATAACTGCTCAAACAGGATTTCAGCCAATATTTTATTATTGTCTGGCATTCTTGATTTTTTTCCAAAAACTTAGAACTGGAATGAACAATAAACTGTGGTGCAATGCTAATTTATTTACACATACTAAACATAAGCAATAAACATGTCAAGACACTAAATTTTATTCATTACCAGTCAAATCTAAAATGTCTGTTGGGTTGGCATCACATGATAAAATTAGCCCATGCACTAACGGAGTGTGCCTTCACCATTGCAATTTTTTCTGTCTTGTCTTTGGCTCAAGGCCAGTCAGTAATTAGTGGCTGAAAAGGACTGAAAGAGTGATCTGATAATACCAAGAGCAATTTTTGGAAGATTTTAATAGCATGTGAAATTTGGAGAGTAGTGTTTTTATTGGCTGCAGTTGAAAGAGCTTCATATGTGGTGTTGTCTACTTCTATTTGTGCAAGGAGTGTGTCTTTATTTTCATCTGGCTTCCCTCTTAAATGAATCCTGTTCAGACATGGAGGGCTTGAATTGTGGTGGGAATGAAGGCACATATCTGCTTGTCCTGCTTGGGAATTGATTGGATTTTCATGCCATGAGCATGAAGGACTAAAAGGAGACTGCCAGTTCATTTGGGTGACTGAATTTACAGAAACCTAATCAAGTGTCTACCTTATTGGGGATTCTGATGATTGGACCTCTCTCTGTAAGTGCATACTTCTCTTTTTTCAGATGTTTGAACTCATCATGAGACAATCGAACGAACTTCTAGGTGGAGGGGGATATTCAGGATGGGGCTTCTGTGTGATAGTGATTAGGACTCTTCATTCTTTCAAGCTGTAGTGAGTGTGACTCTGCAGTCCTTGTGTCTGCCCGCCCCAAGTTTCACAGGGTTCTGTCCCTTAGCTACTTTTGTAGAGTGAAGCATATGGTGCTGTGGTAAGAAATCTTGGATCATTGAAGAGAACTCCAGTCTTGGATTAAAATCAGCAGTCTTTATGTGTAAATATTTTGAATTTAAAACTTACATTTTAAAAGTTAGTGTATGCATTTTGTTTGAGCTCTTCTGTGAGTTCCTAAGGTTTATCTCATATCTTTTATTTAAAATTGTCATTTTATTGTTTTGCATTGAATTCATGTAGTTGTGTTAAGTACTTGTGTATTAGTATCAGTGGAAATCTTTTTCAGTGATGTGGGGAAATCCAAAAGGGACTACAGATTGCTTTCATCAGGCTGAAAAGGCTGCAGCTGGTTTAGGGGTATGGTATCGCCTATGTCATCACTTGGAACATGTAAAACCCCTTTTTAATTCCCTGTACTGGTTCCTTCTGCTTCTTGTTCTCATCTTGTGGTAACCTTTAACCTTATAATCATCAGATTTTGCCACTTGCAGTCTTCTCAAGATCTCCTGCTCTGTTAAACAATGATACTTTTTTTTTCAGTCCTGCCTGCCCCTCATGCCTGCAGTTACAGTATCTCTCAGGATGCCTCAGTGTAACCATATCCCTTTTTCATTCAAAACCTGTTGGGAAATCTGTGAAAGAGCCCACAGTATCAGTACATGTTGTATAAGCCAAAATGAATGTAACTGAAATTATTGCATGTTTTCCCCGTTTAAATCTGTCTCCATTTCCATCCTCTGTTGTTTTTCCTGTTTTTGTTTTTAACTGTAATTATTAACCTTTTTCTTTGTGAAGTGCCATGTATGTATATGTAGAGATATGGATTAATATCTGTATCTGCACCTGTGAAATTGTTGGCCAGAAGAAATCTATAGTGGATTAATATCATGGTACTGATCCAGGAAGCTGACCACTTCTGATGCAGATTTTTTTAGAAAAATGGGGAGGGAAATGGGGAGCAAAAGGCTTACATTGTTGGGAAGAGCCTGAATTTCAAAAATGCAGGTTCATGAATAATACTCTCCTCCTCTCCATTCCACCTTTGCATAAACTGTCACCTTTCCCTCCTTCTGCCACCAGCATATTTTATTACATAATCAGCCACTGTTCTCCTCTAGTGTATCCTTGCTTTCTTGAGTCAGAGCTGAGTTGATCAGGGACTTGAATGTGCAGTGGAAACTAGCTGGAGTTCCCCAAGCACTGAGCATTTTCAAGATTTGAGAAGTGTTGAAGAACAATGTGAATGGGAGGGTGTCTCAAAAGGCACAGGGCCTTTTGATCCTTCTCCTGAACTTCGAACTGGTGGCTGGCTTCTGTTTCTCTGCCCCTTGCTTCTCATTTAACTATCTCTGTGGTTATCATGTCAGAATATTCTTCACTTCCTTCTCTTATTATAACAGCAGCAAGCTTCTTCTGCATTTACTGGCACTTTTCAGTACAGTAACCAAAGTACTCACATTTATTCTGCAGCATACAAATTCTTATCCCAGTTAGTTTAGCCTGGAAAAGGGGTGTGTGCAAGATGAGGGGGTAGTAGCATCTTTTGCTGAGAGTTATTAGTGCTGAGGGATGCTGAAAAGGGAAGGAAAAAAGAAGCCTGAGTGTCAAGCCAGTTCACTCCTTTGGAGGTAGGAAGAAGGAGGTAGGAATGCACAGCTCAAGGGACAGATGGTGGCTTGTCACACCTGCCAGAGGGTTAAAGGGCCTTCACCATGGGGTGTGTGGCAAGCAGGTTTGTTTATGTCTTCTGATAGCGGAGAGAGTTGAAGACAGGGAAGTCAGGGGTAGATAGAGAATAAGATGCAGTGCATATGATCTGTACAATTCTGTGGCAGAGTTCTTGATGTGTTTCACCATTTTTTTTAATTGAATGCTTTCCCATATGGAAGAATCCTGTTCTTGTTCAAGTAGCATGCTAGGAAGTACTAGGCTTTCTCATGTCCTTCTAGTTTTCTATGTGGAGGTAGCCTTTTTTAGAAATTTGCTTTTTCAGCACTCTTTTAATATAACATGTAAGACCTAAATGGTAGATTCTAGGAAAACTGGCACATTGCAATTTTCAGGTAAGAAATGAGTGCAGTGTATAGCTGTGTGATAATGAAATTGAACAAAAAGGCAACTGACATAAAGGCAACTGATCCTGAATAACTTAGAAGATTTCAGCTGCCTTCAATTGAATCTACAGATTTCCCCCAGTCTCACAATATGAGACATACCTGTGCTTCAGTCTTGTAAGACAAGGGACTCTTCTAAATGATAATTCTTCAGTGCACTGTGGTGTAGTTGTTATTTTGGAATTAACATGGGTACTTAATGAAATGTGCTGTGACATTGGTGCAAGTGATGTAATACTGAGTGTAATGAGGAACACTACAATCTCTTTGCCCCTGTTGATCCAGTGTCCTTAATTGTAAGGAGTCTTGTTTTTATCTTTTTTTTTAAAAAAATAGATGTTTACTCCCCTAGTAAAATAAACCACTCACCAACCTGTTATAATAAGATCAAGAGACCACACTCCTCATTTAAAGGGGGAGGGGGAGAGGACTATCCTGGTTGCAGTGGAACAGAGCTAACAATTACTGATGTTCAGTCAATATAAGTAGAAATATGGTACAAAGCAGAAAAAGCAGGAATATTTGTGTGTTCTCCCATTTCTGTGACTCTCCTAACCATTCTTTTCTTGTGGTTTTTGTCACCTTTTGTTGGGTGACTTTTGTGTCCTGGCTACTCCAAAGCTATACTCTCAGTCACAGGTCAGATTTTGAGGTGCTCTTTTCCCTTATATTTTCTCGTAGGGGAGCAGGAATGCCTTGCTGGGATGCAGAACACACTTTGTAAGGGAGCTTGCAGCCTCCTTGTAAAGATGCATAAAACAAAGCATTGGAAAATATTAACATGCAATTTAAATCAATTAAGCACCCACTTAGCTCTTTCTGCAACAATTGAGGACAATTTCCAATGACTCACCCGTATTTAATATATTGTTGTTGTTTAGTTGTTTAGTCGTGTCCGACTCTTGGTGACCCCATGGACCAGAGCATGCCAGGCCTTCCTGTCTTCCACTGCCTGCCGGAGTTGCGTCAAATTCATGTTGGTCGCTTCGATGAAACTGTCCAACCATCTCATCCTCTGTCGTTCCCTTCTCCTCCTGCCTTCACACTTTCCTAACATCAGCGTCTTTTCCAGGGAGTCTTCTCATGAGATGGCCAAAGTATTGAAGCCTCCGCTTCAGGATCTGTCCTTCCAGTGAGCACTCAGGGTTGATTTCCTTTAGAATGGATAGGCTTGTTCTCCTTGCAGCCCAGGGGACTTTCAAGAGTCTCCTCCAGCACCACAATTCAAAAGCATCAACTCTTCGGTGATCAGCTTTCTTTATGGTCCAGCTCTCACTTCCGTACATCACTACAGGAAAAACCATAGCTTTGACTATTCGGACTTTTGTTGGCAAGGTGATGTCTCTGTTTTTTAAGATGCTGTTGAGGTTTGTCATCGCCTTCCTCCCAAAAAGTCTTTTAATTTTGGGGCTGCTGTCACCATCTGCAGCGATGATGGAGCCCAAGAAAGTAAAATCTGTCACTACCTCCATATCTTCCCCTTCTATTTGCCAAGAGGTGATGGGACCAGTGGCCATGATCTTTGTTTTTGTTTTTTTGATGTTGAGCTTCAGACCCGAAATTAAAAGATATTGGAGTTTGTTTATATTTCTTATGGCAATCTTAA